TGGGGGGCGGCGGGGGGCAGGTGAGGGGAAGGGGCCCACAGAGAAAAGACCTAGATGGTGTCGCAGCTGCTGAACTGTAGTTGCCTGGCCGTCCAGACTTGAGTTTCTCCATTTTTGAAACTGGGGGATGGGTAGGAAAATTAAACAGGGGCTTGGGCTCACGCCGCCCTGGGTTTCAAGCCGGTAAGGTTACCAGATTTAGCAAGTAAAATACAGGACACCCAGTTTCTTTGGCATTTCAGATAAACAACGAATAATTCGATTAAAAATCTGAAATGCCAGGGAAACCAGGCATCCTGTATTTTCTGGACTGCCCTACCTGGACTGCCTCTGTTGTCGTGACCTTTTCCTGAGCCGCAGTTCTTCTCTGTGAGGTGGGGATGATGACAGCACCCACCTGCGAGTGAGATGTTCCCAGGGCAGCTTGCGGCAGAGTCAGAATTCAAATCCTGGGCGGTCTCGCTCCAGGGTTCTGACCACCTGCCCTCATCTCCCAAACGCCTCCTTCCCAAAGTGTCCTCCTTAGCTCAGTAGATGGCCCCTGCAGGTGCTGAACTGTGTCCCCTTTGAAGGTTCAGATGGAGTCCCTTGGAAATTTCAAAGTTAGGGCCTTCAGGGGTCAGAAAGGACCAAAAGAGTAGATATGGGCAATAGGCAGGGGTGGGCCTACTGGAATGTGGAGTGCATACTTCCCATTTAAAGTGGTTTTTCATAAAATGCTTTATCTTACCACCCTTGCTACACCCACTTCACCCTGCAGGGCCTAAGCCTGGGAATCGGCCCGAGCTCCTACTCTAACCCCGTCTCAAACTCCAGGTTCCTTTCTTTCCTCAGAGGCCCAGGGTATCCATGTTGGGATTCTGCACGCAGCTCAGCAACTTTCCAAGATTCCCCTGCTCTGGGTGCAAAGCTAAGTCCCCTAAGCTGGCAATCTGGGCTTCCGAGCCTCTCTCTATCCTGCTGGGTGGGGAGGGACACTGCAAAGCAGCCCTGCCCCCAGGCTCCCTTTGAACCCAAGCCCCTTTATCTCCCCCACCCCACCAGGGCACAGCTCAAGGGTAGCGGTCCAAGTTCAGACTTTCTCTGTGGCCCCTCATTCACACATGGCAAGGCACACAGTGGGTCCCCAAAGCCAGAGCCCTTCTGTCTACCCCGGGTCCTCATCTGTCAAGTTTCTCTCTGCATAGACCCAACCCCAAGGGGACAATAGTGGAAAGTTCCCTACGGATTCATACATCACCCAGGATGTCTGGTGAAGTGACGATTCCTTCTCCAGAGAGGCAACTCCCTCTTCCCTAGGGCCGCATGGAGACAGGACCATTCCCAAATGTCCTGGGCTCCCAGAGCAGATGAGGATCATACACCCACAGTGGGACTGACACCAGGAAGTCCCGCAGCCTCATGTGAAGCTCTTCGATTTGGTTTTGGCAGAAGCCCACTCTCTTTATCCTGATCAAGGCCCTGCTCGGTCTGAACTCCTGCCTCCCTCTTAACCACCGTCCACCCACCTTGGCCACTTTTCTGACCCCCAATCACACTGAACTCATTCCCACCTCAGGACCTTTGCACTTACTATATCCTCCACCTGGACTGCTCTATTCACATGGCCAGCTCCTCCTTGTCATTCAGTTAAAATGTCACTGTTCAACACTTCTTCCTTCCTGTCCCACCTTGACTTATCTTTTTCAAATACTTGTCACACTCTGAAATTACCCTATGTATTAACTGGTTTTCTTGCTTACGGCCCACCCACCCACTAGGCTCCAAGCTCCGTGTGGGCAGAATCAGGCCGATCATATCCTCGGAGCATTTCTATCAACTGCACAGTGCCTGGCACACACTAGGTGACGGATAACATCTGTCGAATGAGTGAGTTAGGAGAGCCAGGAGTCCTAGGCTCGGTGAGATCTTGGAGTCACTTCCCGGTCCAGCCCCAGGCCCTGCCTCACCCCATTGCCAGGGACCCAAAGAGAGTGAGGGGCTGAGCCGCTCTTTCCTGTGGCTCTGACTCAGTCCAGTCAGATCCAGACACCAGGGCAATGTGGGGCCGAACGCATTTCCTGCCGCGCTGCCCTTCCACCGCTGAGTTTCCACGAACCCCGCCCCCACCCACAGGGCGGGCGATGAGCTGAACACACTCTCATCTTCCTTATACGAACCCCGCCCACCCGGCGGGCGATGAGCTGAACACACTCTCTCTCATCTTCCTTATGAGCCGGAACAAGAAATTCTCCACGGCTTGTGTCAGCTCAAAGAGGTTGAGTAATCACCTAAGGGCACCCAAGCAGCTAGCAGTGATGTCAGCCACATTCTCTGTATCTCCAGAAACCCACACTCCAGCCCCACAGCTTTTCCATTTCCTCTTTCTTTCCCGCAGACCACTTTGCTTCCTCTACTCTGAAGACCGACGCAATGGCAGCGTTTGGTATAGCAGAGCGGCTTTCCCGAGGCCCCGCGTCATCCAGTCTTCGGAGTTCGCTCTCTCGGCCCACATAGCCTCTCATCACCCTGTCCCCACCCACTCTCAACTCTGACCACAGTGAAATGTTTCTTTATGTCAAATGTCAGGCTCTGTCTCACCCCACCCTTTGCTGTGCTCTTGGCTTGGGACCCTCCCAGGGCTGCATCTGACTATTCTGGTCTCAGTTTAGAGGTTAGAGCCCCCACCTCCCCTATTAATTAGGTGGGACCCCTTCCCTGAGCTCCAGGCTCCACGCTCCTTCACGAGGCTTTGTCGCAACAGGTCGCTTTTGTCACCGCCCCTTCCACACACTGGGAGTTCTGTAAAAGTGGGATCTGTGCATCTCGCTCCGCTTCCAGGTTCCCAAAGCCCAGCAGAGGACCTGTCATATAGCTCGATAAATATTTAATGAGTTAATGAGGTCCATTTTCATCCTTTCCATTTTACAAATTAGACCACTGAGGCACAGAGAGGTTTAGCACCTTGCTGCGGTCACACAGCCAAGCCCCAGAGCAGCTCTAGAGGAAAGGCCTACTTGGGCACGGTCAGCTTGGACAGACATCAGAGGCCAGGCTGGAGTTTCCTGGAGGAGGGAGAAGGAATGATCAGGAGCTATGCAAGCACTTTGCTTCTCTGCTCCCGCTGATGTCTGCTCCCGCCAGGGCCCTTGGTCTGACCACCAACCCTTGCCCCATTTCTCAGATGAGAAAAGTGACTCTCAAAGGAGGGCAGAGCTAATTCAAGATCAATAGTGGACCTCAACATAGTGCATCCCAGAGCCACAGGCTCCCTCTACCCCGTGTTCCCCCACCTTCGTCCCTAGAGAAGCAGGCATGAAGGGGGCCACCCAAGAGGGAGCCCAGTGGGTCTTCCTTGAGCCAGGGGGTAGGGAGGCCTGGGTTCTAGGGCTGGCCTTGCCACTTACCCGTGCATAAGCCCCTTAAAGTCTCTGGGCCTCAGTTTCCCCATCTGGACGACAAAGGGGTTGGGCTAGAGCCTTCAGCTTCCCGCCTTGCCCAGAGCGTCAGGACAGGGCTGTGGGAGCTGGTAAGAATACAGGCTCCTGAGTCCAAAAGGCATAGGTGAGTCCTCGTTCCAGCATTTATTGCTGAATGATCTTGCTCAGTCCCTTCACCCCCTTGAGCCTCCATTTCATGGTCTGTAAAAAGAGAATAATAGCAATTTTTGAGGATTAAATGAGCTAATGTGGGGGAGTCCCTGGCACAATGCCAGGCACAGCATCACCATCAAACGAGGGCGTGTTGTCACGGTATTAGTTAGGGAATTCTGCCCTCTGGAGGCCAGTGGGAGGAACAGCAGGCGAGGGGAGCCCGACCCTCTGCCGGGAAGGTTAGAACCCGCCTTCCCGGAGTGCCCCTATTGTCCAGATGGGGAGAGCGCAGCCCGGCGCTCGTCACTCGGTGTGCGCCTCCACCCACTGGCAGAGGCGACGGGCGTAGCGAGCCGGGCTGACGGTGGAGAAGGTCCGGCCGGGGTAGCGCAGCGTCTTCCACAGGTGTTCCAGCCGCTTGCGGAGCCCGTAAACAGTGGCGAGGTCCACGAGGCCCAGGAAATAGCGTTGCTCCGGCCCGTCCAGGATGTGAAGGGCGTTGGGGGAGTCTGGTAGCAGCCGACGGTTCTGGGCTCCCGGTTCATCCGGGCTCTGTACCCCTAGCACAGACCTGGGGGCCAACGGGTGGGGGTGAGGCTACCGCCTCCTCCAAGGGCCCCCAGCCAATTATCCCTGTTAGCCTGGCCAGGCTGCCCCTAGACGGCACTCTGCCCTAACCCTGTGCTTCCCTCGCTCATTCCCCACCTCCAGGCGTGTGAAGTCAGATAAATTAGGAGTCTCGGTAAAGTGTAGTTGATGGTCTAGAGCTGCACTATTAAGTAGCCACTAGCTATCTGTGGCCTTTGAGCACTTAAATGTGGCCAGTCCCAACTGAGACGCACTATAAGTGTAAAATTGAATTTCCAAGACAGGGTGAGAAAAAGGATGTAAAATATCTCATAAATATTTATACCGATTAGCTGATGAAATACAATTTTGGATGTATTGAGTAAATAAAATATATTATTAAACTTATTTTTACTTGTTTCTCCTTTCTTTTCTAAAGAGACTGCTAGAAAAATCAAAACTACATGTGTAGTTCACATTACATTTCCATCGGGTATTTCCATCTGGTCTAGAGCATTGAGGCCACACAGACCCTGGCTCTGCATTCATGTGCCACATCGCTTTGAGTAAGTCTCGTCATATTTGGGTATTTCCTAAACTTCTGTTTGGGATTACCCAACCCTAGAAGTTTCAGGGTTACAGAGTTGAAACCTTGGGAACAAAGTCCAACCCCAGTTAGCAGATGGTGTGTGGGGTAGTTTTTCGTTTTTGGGTTTTTGTTTTGTTTTGTTTTGTTTGCCTCCAAATGTATCCAGATCAGAAGATGCCTTTCACGGGGCCCCCAGTCCCAGCCAAAGCAGGTTCAGTTCCCTAACTTGATCCTACTTAGGGTGGGGGGAAGTGGAAGTAGGGTGTCACTGAAGGGTTCTATTTCTGCCCTGCCCAGGAAAATAAACCAGTGAGAGACAAGCCCTGCCCAGGCACCAACCAATCAGAACTCAGTAGCCTAAGAGTAGGTACCCTCTGCTGTGCACCGTTTAACAGGGATGATGGAGAGGTGTGTGTGTATGTGCGTGTGTGTGTGTGTGTGTGTGTGTGTGTGTGTGTGTGTGTGTGTAGAGGAGTGTTCTGAATGAGGGGGTGGGAAGGATTGGGGGTGGGGGACAGTGGCTATTCACAAGCCAGCACGGAAATATTTCAATGACAACAATTGTTACATGCAAACTCAGCCATGATCTAAGTACCAGCTGGGGGCTGAAGGCAAGGAAGAAGCTGATCTAACTTGGATGTGCAGACTTAGGGAGGTTCTGTGCCCATGACTGGAATTCCACTCTCTAGTCAAGATGTGCCCAACCAGAGGGTGTGGGGAGCCATTACCCCGGATCCTGCTCAAGCCCAACCCATCCCAGGGTCTTCCTCTAAGGGTTGGGGATGGGGGTGCTGGATGAGTGGACATCATTTTTCACTTGCCTTTTCCGCCCACAGGATAAATGGTCTTAGCTCCTTAAAGTGCCTGTTTTAACCACTATGTAATTCTGTTCAGCCACAGAGGTGGGTCTTGAAGGACTGAAATCCAAGTAACTAGCCGGAAATCATTCTATAACTTCCCTTCCACTTTCCGAGCCTCAGTCTTCACATTTCTAAAATTGGAATGAGCCCACCTTAATGAGGCTTACGATCAGCACGCAAGGAATGATGTTTACTATTACAAAGGGGAGGACAACATGACGATCGTGTCAATGGTGATGACCTCAGGGTCCTAGAAGTGGAATTACTGGGCTAAGGGGCAAGGGCTCTTTCTAAGGCAACAATTAAATACGTCTGAAACCTTCGATGGCTCCATAACCCCTTCTAGAAAATGGGCAGATTTCTTCAAATTCAGACTGAAGCCCTTGTCCAGTTGGATGTCACCCGTTCCCTCCCCTGCTGTGGTCCACCTGGACCCTCTACTCTTGCCAGGCAGGCTTCTCCAGCCCTCCACTGTATACACACACGTTGCATTTTCCAGTCTTTGAGCCTTTGCTTATTTGGTCCCCCACCTCACCATCTGTGTTTCCCATGCCCTCATCACCTTGTTCTTGCTGTTGCCCCTGTGAGGAGCCCACCTGGCTGTGCGGAAGACAAGGCTGCTGCCCAGGCCCTTCTCATCCTCGTGGAGATGCTGGAAGGCCATCAGGAGGCTGTAATCCAGCACGTTGAGCTCCCGGAGGAAGGCGGTGTCCAGTTCCATCTGGCGGAGGAACCAGCTCCGCTGGGGCCCTGCTGGAGCATTAGCACCCCCTCCTGAGTGCTCGTGGTATGCCAGGCAAGGTGCTGAAGGCTCCATATGCATCTGCCCCAGGAGATGTTGTTACTGCCCCATTTCAGATGAAGGAACCCATCTGTCATTTGCCTTGGTCACCTAGCTAGTAAGTCATGGAGCTGGGATTTGAACCCTGCTCTGCCTGACTCCAGAATTTCACCCCGAACGGAGAAAGAACAGGCAGCGACCATCCCGTGGCTCACCCAGATCAATGGTCTTGCCCTGGAAGTTGAGGTCCTTCAACACCAGGACAAGGGGGCTGCCCTCAGGGGCTGGGTCGACCCATCGGCTCACCTCGCAGCCCTTGATGTCATACCTGGGAGGCGAGGAGAGTGGGGGGACATGACAGAATTCAGCTTTACACGGACCCGAGACACATGGGGACCCTTGCAAGGTAATAATAAGAAACAAGAGCTTCCACTAGGTGACTGTTCAACTCCTCAGCACAACCCATTCCATTATTGTCCCTGTGTTAGAGATGAAGGAAAAGGCTCAGAGAGTTTCTTTGACTTGCCCAAGACCACACAGAAAGTAAAGGGCAGAGCCGGGATTCCAACTCAGGTCTTTGGAAGCCCAGTCCAGGTTTTACCCTTGCCTGTGCCTGCTTCTCAGCACCTTTTCATCTCGAAGGCCTTCCAGACACAAGCGTCCAACCCTAGGCAGTAGCACCAGGAGGACCTGAAGGAAGTCGGTGGCCTTGGGGGAGCACTAATAGGGAGCACCGACGAGGGCAGAGTTCAGAGCTGGCAAGCACTGAGGACAATGTGCTATCAAAGGCTGGGCTCGAATCCCTGCTCCTCACATAGTACCTGTCCGGCCTCATTTTCTCATCTATAAAATGGAGGTGATAACAACTCCTACCCCTCAGAGTTGTTATGGGAATAAAGATTATAAATGCAAGTGGCTCAACGCGATGCCCAATGCATACTGAATGCGCAAGAGATGCTGGTCGTGGGTATCGCTGTCTCCGACCCCTCAGGAGATGCTGGGAAGATCCCTTCTCCTCCCTGCGCCTCAGTTTCGCCGTCTATCTAGTGAGTGTGGGTGCTTCCGGTGGCACATTCCAGGCGGCCCGAGACTCTGCGAGGCCGACTCACCTCTCGGAGATGCGGCCTCCGGGATAGAAGACGCTCTGCATGATGATGAAGTATTTCTGGGGACAGGGGCAGGGAGTGAGGGAGGATGGGATCTCGCCCCGCAGCCGCCCCCTCCGGTCCGGGCCCCTCGCCTCGGCCTCACCCACCTTTTTGCCCCGGGCCACCCGCAGACTGTGCACTCCTAGAAGGGGAGAGGGTGCCAGGTGAGGGGCTCCAAACTAGGCAACCCGGGGTCCATCCCGCCCCATCCCCAGGCTTCGCCTCTGTCTCGAGTTCCGCTGCAACCCGAGCCCGCACCTCCTGCGGCGCCCCCAGATCCCCTCTCCCGTAGCGGGACTCGACCCGTCTCTAGAGTCAGCCCCAAAGATACCCGGGCCTCGGGCATGGCCCCGCCCACATGCCCTCCCCAAGCGGTGCCCAATCCTAACCCCTCCCCTTTGGGCCCCGCCCCAGATCTTGGTCCCGCCTATCGACCAACGCGGTCCCCCTACATTGCCATCTAGGACCCGCTCTGCACCGAACTCTGCCAGCAGTCGGGACCGCCTCCTGTCCGGTCCTCTCCGCCCGGCTGGGCTCAAGTCCCCCGCGCCCCCCATCCTGGACCCGCCCCACTCCCTGGCCTCCTCCCCTCCTCAGTCTCTCCTTGACCCTTTCCCCTCTCCTCGCAGTCCCAGGTCCGTACCCAGCAACCGCGCGAGCAGCGAGTGCGGATGCCGCTGCAGGTGCTGCACGTAGCGGGGCAGGTGGGCGAGCAGGGCCCGCACCTCCCTGCGGCCCTGGGTCTTCAGGAAGAAGCGCTGGTCATGGCTGGGGGTGGGGAGGAGGGAGGTGACGGGAGGGGAGTCACTGGGTAGGCCGGGATGGAGCGGCTCCCATCAAGCTTCCTGACCCGGCCTGTCCATGTGTGGATCTGTGGTCCCCAGTACAAATTCGCGAACCTCGCCCTTCGTCTCTCCTCCTTCATCTGACCTCGATCCGGCTGGGACCCTCCCTGACTTGGACATTCTATTTCTCTCCCGAATGCCTCCCTCCACCCCTGGACACCACTCCCACTCCGACCCCTGCAGCCAGCTCACGACAGGAAGAAGCTGGCCTTGCTCTTCGAGGTGCTGAGGAACTGCAGGTAGGGACCGCCCGGCCCCAGCGCGGCTTGATAGTCCTCCTCCGCCAGGCCTAGGGAGTGGCGCAGCCAGGCGAAGGCAGGGCCAGCCAAAGTGCCCAGCTCGAAGCCCTGCAGGGGAGGAAGAGCAGCCCCAAGTGTCCACCGGGGCCCAGGTGTGTGTAGTTGGCCCTAATGCAGGAGGGTTAAGGTAACCACACCGTTCTTGAAGGCCCTGAGGCAAGCCATTCCTCCCACTGCATCCCTGGGGAAACTGAGGAGAGAGAATGAAGATGGTACCTGCCCCCTCCCATGCTGCAGTCTGGGGCTTCCTACCTCCTGAACCTGGGTTAGGACCTCGGAGAAATCTTCCTCAGTGGGCGGCCCCTGCAGGGAGGGGCAGAGGGGCTCAGAGCAAGACTCAGCCCCCCACTGCCAGCCCCAGGATCTCCAAGCGTCCCCCATGGCCTCACCCCCTTCACCTAATTCGATTCCTCCAGCAAACAGGGACCGCCCTGGGTGTGCCTAAGTTGGGAAGATGGGGCTACAGACCCTCCTAGAACTGGAGGGAAGATGAAAGAGTGACCTGAGGCAGGTCCTGGGTGTGTCTCATCCACAGCTGGGTCCCTAGCACTTGCCTCTGAGTTAAAGCCTGGCACATTCGCCAGACACACACATTGGCCAAGTGAAGCCGGATACCATCCCAGGAAAAGAAGACGCCAAAGGACCTGCCTGTTTCAGCCTGGGAGGGTCAGGATCAGAGAAAGCTTCCTGGGGGAGCTGACCCTCAAGCTGAAATCTGAAGGGCAGTGGAGAGGAGGAGCAGGGTGCTCGTAGCACCGGGAATAGCATTGGTGGCTACCAGGAAGGGAAGGAGAGCGCAAGTGACTGGAGTAAGGGAGAGATGGAGTGTGAACAAGGCTGGACAGCGGGCCCCTGGGCTTGAACCAGCAGGACTCTGAGGCCATGATGAGTCCTGGGGAGCCATGGAAGATTTCAGCAGATTTAGAGAACCTCCACTGACTCTTACACTCTCCCTGGACCTCTAGGTTCCTGGGCCAGGGCTTGGCTAGTGGGACGTGATCACACTGTGCACACGTGTGCATACACACAAACAACACATATGCTCACCCAGGCCCGTCCAGCTGCTGAGCTTGCATTTGGGTGACCTTTTCTGCTGAGCCAGCCTGGCCCCAGTCTGAGCTCTGGGGAGGATGGGCCTGGCTGGCAGGGTGGGGGTAGGGTCTCTTCTCAACCATACACCTGGCAGGGCTGGGACGGCCTCAGAGACCAAGAAGTACAACTCCCATCCCCCACAGTCATTCTATAGATGGAGACACTGAGGCCTAAAGAGAGGCAGAGGCCCATCTAGAGTCACACAGCAACCAACTGGGTCAGGGGGCTCCTCAAGCCCCCAACGCACTTTAGGGTTTTCCAGGTCCTGGCCTCAGCCCCCACCCCAGAATGTCCCTCCCTCCCTCCCTCCCTGTATCAAGTCCCCGCTCTGGTGCCCAACTCTGCAGTGTTAGCAAGACAGGGCATCAGCCACTCACCGTGGGCGGGTGGTCCATAGAGACCTGGGTGGCAGCCCACAGCCCCGCCTGCATCATACAGGTCAGCCGGTGCAGCTCATGCCCCGGGCCAATCTCAAACAGGCCGAGGCGCGGCTGCTTGTCTCGCAGACGCCAGAGAAGGCCATGGCGGCCAGAACTGGAAGTGGCTGCTCTGCGTCCAGCCTCTGGGGAGAGGGCCAGGACCTAGTGGCAGGAGGCACAAGAAGCAATGAGTATGTGGCAGCATCACAGAGGGAAAAGATCTGGATGTAAGTCCCATCTCCACTACTTTGAGCCTTCCTCTTATCGCTCTCTGCCTCAGTTTCCCCAGTTGTGAAATACAATTGGAGAAAACAGTTGGGTGTTTTGAGGGGCCACACAGTCTCTGGCATGCAGTCAGCACCCCATTAGAGTGATGATTATTATTAGCAGTATAGAGCAGGCAGTTCTGCAGCCAAACCTGGCCCAAGACTGATTTTCTCACCAGCTGTGTGACCTTAGGTAAGTCACCTAACTTCCTGCACTTTGTTTTCTCATCTGTGAAATGAGAATTGCAACAACTTTGTGACAGGTATTAACTTGTTACTGTCGAGTTTGAGCTCCGTGCACAGGAACCCTTGATAGGAGCTGTGATGCGGGAGATTCAATCATCTATTCCACTCGTCTGTGCTGAGTTCCTCCAGGCGAGCCAGGAAGGTCAGCACAAAGCTGAGATCATATAGCGCTGGCCCATTAGTAGTAGGCACCCACTATGTGCCCAGCGCTGGCTGAAAGCTTGACCTCCTAACAGCCAGCCCTATGAAGGAGGAGCTTTTAATATCATCTCCATTTTCCCGATGAAAAAACTGAGGAAGTTCTCGGGGTATACCCGCCGGACTTCCCCCTTCGTACCTGCAGTTTCCTACGTGGGGCGTGTTCTGGTCCCCGCCCAGGGCAGGACCCTTCCTGTGCTTGGATGGGGGGTGTGTCCGTCCCGTACAGGGAGCGGAAGACAGGCTCTTGCCCCCCAACCCTTCCCCCTCCTGTCCTCCCTCGGGTCCGCACCTACCTCGCGGGGCCCCGGGCTCGGCGCGGCCATCACCCCCGCAGCAGCTTCCAGATCTCTGGCCGCGTCCCCCGCCGCCCAGTCGCCCCGCTGCAGGAGTCAGGCTCCGCCCCTACTCTGGACCGACCAATCGCGCGATGCCGGTCACGGCTGCACCCAATCCACGCAAGAGTCGCCGGCGATCGCCTGCGGGTCCCGCCCCCAGGGCTGCAGCAGCCTTCGGACCGCGGTCCAGGGCTGGGCGGGGTCGCTGCGCGTCGGTTGGGGTCCTTGGGAGGTAAGATCCGCCCCCCCCGTGCCCCATTCGTCCCTCGGGATGGAGGACTCGGGGTCGCTTGGGAAGGCAGTAACCTAAACCCAGCCCCGTCCACCCACTCAGGCGTGGAATTCCCACCGACTGTCTTTCAGGTGGAAAAACTAAGGTCTAGAGAGACAAGTGACTACCTCCAGGTCACACAGAATGTCGGGGGCGTGCATGCATTCAGTATATATTTTAACACTCGCTATGGGCCAAGAGCAACGCTAGGCCCAGGGATTCAATGGTGAGGGGAACACAGCTGCCGGCGTGATCTTTTAAAAGCATAAATTGGATGATGTCACCCTCGTGCTTAAAGCCTCCAGTAGCTTCTCACAGCCCTGGAACAAAATCCAAACCCCTCGCCTGGGCCCCAGGCCCTTCTGCCCACTCTCCAGCCCTATCTCAAACTACTCTCCCCAAACCCACCACACAGCCACAGGGATTCCCCTCTGGTGCTCAGCCGCCAAAAACTTTCACATCTCAGGGCTTTCGCAAGCGTTGTTTCCTCTGCTCGAAATCTTTCCCCCCAGACTTCCATTTGCCTTATTCTTTCTTGTCACCACGTCTAACTCTGAATGTTCTCTCTTCTCCTACTTGATCACCTCACCTCGATTTATTTTCTTCATCACACTTAACAGTCAATTGTCTCCTTCATGTGTTTATTACAACTCCCCCTAGAATTGGGGTGCCAGGAGGGAGAAACCACGCCTGGCTCAGTGCCTGGCACAAACCCGTATTTGATAGGTATGTGTTGAACCAGTGTGAGTAGGATGTGCAAAGGGCCTTGGTGAGTGCCAGGAAATGAAAGGTCAGCCTGGTGGTGGGTGGAGTGAGTAGGAGAGCGTGTGAGTGAGCGAGCACGTTCTTGTAGGCCACGGCAGGGAGAAGGGTAGAGACCTGGAGAGTTTTAAGTGTGTGAGAAAGATGCTCAGATGTTTTCAAAAGGTCACATGCAGTCAGATTGGAGGGGGTCAGAGTGGATAGAAGCAGCAGGGAAGCCTTTGGCGATTTAGGGCAGAGGATGGTGGCTTTGCATCAGGAAGGTGGCTGGGGGAAGTAGAAGAATTAGCAGGATTTTGAATCTTATAAATGGGGTAAAAGGAAAGTCAAGGTCAGGATTCTGGCTGGGGTCAAGGACACAGGATGATGCCAGTCATATGAGAGGGAGCAGATTTGGGGGGGAGGAGGAGATAATTCAGATCACAAGATGAATTTGAGGTGCCATTATGACATCGGATAGGAACATTAGGTGGGTAGCTGGTGCATGTGCAATACATTAGGGCTCAGGAGAGAGCCAGGCTGGAGGTGAGGCCTACGTAAGGACCAGGTCACCCAGAAGGGTGTGGGTCGAGAAGGCCTGTGACGAAGCCCTGAGGAACCCACTCTCTCAGGCAGAACAGAGGAGCATGAGATATAAAATGGCTGAATGGGTCATCACAAACACCAAGAGAGCTTCTGAGGGTGCATCGGGGGGATGCCACAGGCCGCATATGGTGGAGGGGTCAAGGAAATGTGCTTTGGATTTAAAGACCAGATGTCACTGGTAGTCAGTCTTGGGTGCAGCCCTCCTGGAGCAATGCTGAGCACAGCGGCAGTGAGGAAATGCAGGTAGCAGGTGTGGGCACCGTTCGGGGAGTTTGGCTGTGAAGAGGAGTGGGGGAAGAGACCTGGAGGGAATTACTGGGTCGACGGAGGGTCCTTTAAGTGGGAGCCTGGAACGTGTTCATGAAACGCTAGGAGGACCTTGTTGAGAGACAGAGGCTCTTCCCATGAGAGGGGGATCATAAGAGACAGGGCCGAAAGCCCAGGTGGGCAGCTCTGCCTGGACTGGAGGACAGGTGAGGGCAGGTCAGGTGTGCCTGCAGCTGCCCTCTATTCTCTGAGGGCGACGCCTCCGCTAACTGGAGGAAGAGCGAACACCCAAGGTGTGATGGGTTGGAGGCTTACCTTAGTCACTGTGAATGGGAGAGTCAGCTGCCCAGAGGCACACGGAGGTATTGCTAGGGGGCTAGTGCTGGGGCCTGTGCCAGATCAGTCAACCTGACACCAAAACCAGCCCTGCTCTGGCTCAGTAGCAGCCCCCACTGCTCAGACTCACACTAAGTTGGGCTGATGGTACACAAGACAGAGGACAGGCTTCGGCTTTTAGGGGACTGGCCTGCAGGTCCCTAAAATATGAGTGCATGCTGGCTGGCAGGCACGGGAGAGGTGTGGTGGCTGATGTGGGGTCTGGCAGATCACCATGCTTCCACCAACTCCCCAGCCGTGAGCCGCACCAGGCTGGAACATCTGTCCCAGTCCCTGCTTTATCCCTTGTCCAGCACAAAGATGATCCAGTAGGAACCTAAGGCGCCTCCTTGCACAAATCAGGGTCTCCTGACCTGCGACCAATGCAGAAGCCAGCTCCCAGCTCCTCCCCAGACCCCAAGCAGCCCAGCTTCCCTGGTTCAGGATGGCACAGAGACAAACACACCATCAATGTTTATTGTTCAGCTCTCCCCAACGGGCTGGTGCTAGGGCTGAGGGGCTGGGCCTCCATGAGGAGCAGCAGGTCTGGGGTCTGGTGTGGACACTCTAATGTGCCCTGAGGCCTGCTGGTGGTCCTTGAGCCTGTCAGTCCTCTCCCTAGGCCTTCCAAGTCCAGAAGTCCTGTGGGGTCTGGGGCTCCGTCAGACCTGGGAAAGCTTTATCCTGTGTCTAGCACAGTGATGATCCAGTAGGAGGAAGACATGTGGAGAGAGATCAGGTGATGTCTCAGAACTTGCCAAGTCCAATATTGGCTTGTGACAGGAGGGAAACTGAGGCAAGAGGGTAGAACTAAGAGGAAAAAGTGACGGAGTCTGAAGGCGAGGTAGGGAGGACCAGCATCTTTCAGGCCCCGAGCCAGAAGGTGGAAAGCGGGAAACTTCCAGGTACTCCTCCCTCCTGGCTTCTGGAAGGGTGAGCAAGGGAGTGGGGGCTCTAGTCAGTCAGGGGTGAGCTCTGAACAGCTCCATTCCCCAGGGGTATCTGCAGGGCGGCCAGGCTAGAGGAGGCCACAGGGCCTGGGCAGGTCCTGTGGGCGCCCCCTCTTGGTATGCCCTGGAGGGAAACAGAGAAGGGGCAGGCAGCCTCGTCCCCGCTGGGCCTTCACTGAGCCTTTTTGGCCACCTTCTGGTTCTTCAGCATCACACAGGTGATGAACACTCCTGGAATATACAAGCCATAAATTCCAGGTAAGATCCAGGCTTGGGTTGCTTAAGGCCAGGGCAGGGGACAGCATGGCAGAGCGACCCACAGGTGGGGCCTAGCACCTCCCCAACCATCCTTCAGGATATCTGATCATCTCCCTAGTCAGCCATCAAGCTATGCATCCACCCACATTCATTCAACAAACATCACTGAGTGCCTATCATAGGCAATTTGCTGTGTTTGATGTTTTAGATTCTACGGTGTACAAGATCCACCCAACTATCCATCTACTCACCCAATCAACCACCCGTCCACCTACCCACCCACCCAGCTGCCTACTCAACATTCAGCATCCACCCACCCATCCCATCATTCAGTCATCTGATTGTTGATTCATCCAAACCACTTTCTTGAATATCAACTTAGTACCACTGCCTGTGCAGGAGCTGAGGACACAGTGATGATGAAGACATAGTCCTAAGAAACCCACAAACTAAACTTTGGGAGACAGAGAGGTGCAGGAATCATGAGCCAGGGTGACAAGGGGATGAGAGGTGATTAAGGTATGAGCAAAGCAATGGTGGTGGTGAAGAGAGCAGGAAAAAGGGAGACGTCCATCCCATTAGGGTCCAAGGAGCCCAGGGCATCACTGACTTGCAACCCTGAAGGATGAACAGGAAAACCCCAGAGTGAGTTGTGGGGAAGGAGCCTTAAGCAGATGTATAGCAAGTGCCAAAGTGTGGCCACACGTTCGGCGGTGGGAGAGGACTCTGGGGTTCCCTAGACACACCTGCCCAGGGTTGGGAGATTGATGACTTACCTACAAACAGGAGCAGCAGGAGGCCGGCGGCTAGTGGGATGGCAACAGCATAAGCTCGGGGCAGGAAATACTTGTGGATGACATGCTGGCTGTCGATGAATGGCTAGCATAGAGGGCACAACTCTAGTGAGCAATCCCCACCTTGCCCAGTCCCCCAACATCCTGCCTCCTCCATCTCAGGGGCTGACCCCACTCAAAGCATCTGCTTTAAGATAATGGCATTTTGGGTGTCTTGAGTTGTTTCTTTCCTTCGTTTATTTAATAGTTGTTTACTGGGCACTTGACTGGTACCTGCTTTAAGTTGGTGCTGGAGACCTGGCAGTGAACAGTAGACAAAGGACTTGCCCTAAGGCCCACACGGCTTAGCAGGGGCAGAAGATACATGAGAATCCTCAAGTGATTCTCATCGTGGGCTCCAACGTCTTCTTTACTAACATTTTCCTCCAAATGATACTCAGTTCTGCAAAACTGCCTTCCAAACACACTGCACTTCTTAAGCAATAACCAACAACTCCCCCACCCCCAAATCCTAAAGGCCCTCCCAAAATCCACTGGCACCCATCATGCCCAGAAGGCAGCAGGATAACAGGAAGGAATAGATTTCCCATCAAAAGCTGAGCAAATCAGGAACAGGGCTTAACAGTGTAGCAGTTAAGAATGCAACCTTGAGCCCGACCCTTCTCCCTGAGCCTCAGCTTCTTCGTCTATAAAATGGGGACATCACTGGCATCTTCTTCATAGTGCTGTTCTGGAGATTTCATGAGATATTCAGGTAAAGCACCTAGCGCAGTGCTTGTCACATAGTAGCTGATTTAATGATGTTGGGGTCGGCTGCAAGATCAAGGAATTGGAGATGAAGGCGGGGGAAGAACACGTACCAAGAGAATCACCCAGGTGGTGTAGTAGGTGAAGATGATCAAGCTAACGGCGACGAGGCCAAGTCCCACCACCTGGTCCGTCCCCGTGGCCTGGAGAAAAAGGAGGACTCAACTGACAAAATGCCTCTATTTAGATGCCCTGATGAAGAGGAGGCGTCGCAGCCTGATTACGCTGACAGAGTGCCGGACCCCGGCGCTTTCAACCGTATAGTGGGCCGTCGGGAGCGCAATCCCTGTTCCGAGTGCCCAAGCCCCGGCTCCTGAAAAGACCCGGGACCCCCAAACCCAGCACTCGGCCCCAAACTCACCATTTCCCCCACACTCCGCACAGGAGAACCAAGCAACATCCGGTTCCGAATCCGGGCCCTTCTGGCCTTCGGCTGCGGGGCACGCCGGGAGTCGTAGTCCTTAGGCCGTCCCAGGACTACGTTGCCCAAGACAGGAAAGCACCGCCTTCCCGTTTGCATGTCGGGAAATGTAGTCTCTCAAGGGCATTGTGAAACATGTCGTTCCCGAATCGCCCTAGGGAATGGGAGAGTACTCTTGGCCTCAGTCCTGTCGAACTCGCCCCTGAAGAAAAGCCTATGTCTAAATATCGGAGAGTCCCCAAGCCAGAGCGGGATCGGGTCGGGGAGGGTCGGAAGTCTCATTTTTCAGATGGGGAAAATGAGGCTCACAGATGGGCAAGGACTTGCGGGAGATTACAATTTGAGTCTGTGGTGAAGCCGACACCAGAACCGAGAGCTCTACTTCTTGGTCCCGAGGCCTTAATTTGTGTGTTGAGGGGAAATGGGGTGCAGAGAATGCTCACCGCCCAGCGGGGGATGGGAGGAAGGGCTGGCCAGAGCCCGCAGAGATGGGGAGGATTTCGATTGGCTGTTAAGGGGTGCGCCCCCTTACCATCGCCTGACTTTCCTATCCACACTCTTCACTGGAGGGATGAGGCCAGCGTGACCCTACCTCCCCGCACTGTCTGCCTCTCGGGCCGTGGGTGCCCCGGCAGCCCAGGCAGCAGATCAGACAGGTCTTTGGACTGGGCGCGTGCGCCGGACCCTCTCCAGGCCTGGAAGCCTTTTCTTCCGAGAGCAAGGGGAGGTTGGCCTCATCACCTTTGATGTGTCCTCCAACTCTGGAGACGGGAACACTGTCTTCCCACAGCTCACCGGATGATTGCTTCTCAATCATCAGGTCTCACGGGATGCCGCAGGTCCCAGGGAAGTCACCTTCCCTGGACAGGGGGTCCTTCCTCTATGCTCCACAGCCCCAAGTGTATCTCCATTATGACGCCTGTCACCATGTTTTAGTTGATTTACTTGATCCTACCCACCTGACTCTGAGCTCCTGAGGACAGGGTGCCACATCCTCTTTCTACCCTACTGCGTGACAAGGTCCGGAGATGGGGACAGAGGCTTCAAGGAATGCATCGTCAAGAACGAGGACTTGGCATGTGTTTAGGGATAATTGGTTTCTTAGGAACGAACCTATTAATAGGGGGAATTTGGGTAGCACAAATTCTAGTAAGTGTAAACGCTGTACAAATGGATTTCCTCAAAATTGGCTCTGAGGAAAACATAGTAAATTCCCTGCGTATGGAATCAGCTCTAGTCACCCTGACGTGTCCAGAATGCGTAAACCCTTTATTTGAACAATTATTAAGGGAAATTCCTTTTGACGCGCCTCTTAAAGAGGTTATGAATAAATTATAACAAGCTGAATTACTAGAACCAGTTTATATTCCTGTTCCCACCCAATTAGTAGAAAAATTAGTAAAGGATAAGAAATTTACTCATAAGCCTGTGCCTACTATGGAAGGGCCTCCTTTTGTGGCCTACTGGATAAATAGAAAACTCTGGTATCCACCTAGGGGGCCTAATAGTATGAAAAGATTGCCTGATCTTCCTTTGCCTTATATAGGAGCTTATAATAAAGATAGTATACATATAGTGAATAAAGATAGAATTCATGTGCCTTATAGTAATTTAAGTTTCATAGAAAGGCTGGCTAGGTCAGGATCTCCTTGGTGCTTAAAAAACAAAGGAACAGAAACTTAGCTTATGAAAGCAGCTTTGTAAAACTGATTTTTATAAATATTTTCCTCATTACTGCACCAAGGAAACTTTTGAACAGCTATGAGAAAGGTTCAGCTTGAACTTTAGATATAGCATAAATCAAATAGCATTTAAAAGATTTCTTCAGGCAGAAAGAACAATGTCTGCCCACAAGCCAATGCTTGCTGTTATGAATACATCTATCTATCACTTTTACTTAAATCAAACTGTATCTTACGTAATAGATTTAAGAATTAAAAGTTTAGATTGTTCCATCAGGTAGTTCTGTTCTAATGATTGAGAGAAAAATGTACTAGTTAATCATGAACATTAATAATAATATACTCTATAAGATTTTCTGCTTTGCCTAACCACAGAAATGTAACTCCCTGCTACCTTAACCACAAAGTATAATCAGATGCCAAAATAGAAAGTATAACAGTTGCACTCAAATCACAATAAAACGGAACAGCGTCACACCGCCTCTGAGTCGTGTAGTCGACTGTCTCCCACGCCGGCGCCTTGCCCACCTTCGGGGCCCCCTGGATCCTGTCGTGGCTGGACCGCGGCAGTAACGCTTGGGCCTGCAGGAGGAGGGACGTGTGGCGGACACCAGGGATGCCCTCAGCATCCTTTCCCCGCCAATGCACCCCCTGCGCCCCAAGGAATAAGAGAAGAGCAGAGACGTCTTCCTGACTTAGCAGAAGGAAGCGAAAAGGAGGGAGGGTGCACCACGGACGCTGGCGGAGGAGGTGGCGTGGGGGTTTGCTCCTGCTGGCAGCATGTCTCCAGAGGTCGTCTAGTCTGAGCCTAGTTAGGGGCCACCCTTCCTGCGCTGACAGGAGCAAACTTTTTATTCCCTTCCCTTTGTATGCTGACTTTCACTTAGCATTACTGTGTTCCAACTGAGCGACCCCTTTTGGCCTACAACCCAATTCCTTCCTTGCCTCAGGACAGACTTTGGGCTCAGCGGGGAGCCAATTTGTCCCTCCCCCAGTGTGCACCGAACAGGGGAAGGGACCGAGAGTCAGCCTTCAGGGTTTACAGAGGCCCAGCCTGGGAAGGGGTGAGGATAATGCAGTGCTGTGGCAGGGACTAGGCCTGGTAGTCTGGTCCTTTCTGGCCTGTTCAAAGCCGCTGAGGTTTCCTGCCACTTCTGAGCTCATTAAAGGGCCAGGGTGACTTGCCTTTCCCAGAGCTTGCTGCAGGCTTCCTCTGTAACTTGAGACGGGCTGGGATCAAGGGCCCAGGCCTGGAGACAATGCATGTCTGGGGCCTTTGTAGAGAGGTTGGAAACAAGCTCCGCACCATCAGGCTGTACACTCCTTTTCTCATTTGATCCACAACCCCATTTGCAGCTGAGAAAACTGAGGCATAGACTGGGTTTTGTCTTCAGGCACGCTTGTTACAGGCCACCTGACTATTGGGGAGGTCCAGGGAACAGAACGTGGGCTCTGAGGTCAGAGCTGCTACTTACTAGGTCTGAGACCCTTCTGGGCTTGCTTCCTCCCCAGGCCTCTGGTGTAATAAAGGTGGTAATAATTCTGACTGCAACCAGGACTTGGAGAACACTGGCCACCCACATCTTCCCCACCCCCCAGAGCGTCACCTTACACATCTGGCTTTCATCTGATGCTGTCTTTGACCCCAAAGTCAAGTCAGTAAAACAAACAAGGACCGACATGCCATAACAAAAACTGAAACATTTAATTTTTCCCCCCAAACCAAGACAGATACTAGGCTGATTTCCCTTTACAATGTTATTTTCTACCATAGAAGCTGGGACAGAGATACAAACGCAGCCCACTGAATCAGGGTGGGGTGGTGACAATATTCTGTTAGAAAAGAGGGGAATTAAAAAAAAAAAAAAGACCTCCCCTCCCCCCATCTCCCTGCTCACCTCCCTCGAGAGAGGAAAACGTGGACATTCTCCATCCTGGCAGATCATGCCCTGTAGTCAGTTTGTGAGGTGACCAAAAAAATAACCTAAAAATATTGTAGATCTTTATTTCTTTTAAATCTCCCAGTAAAAACGTTAAACTGTCTTCCAAGAAGATTCCAAACTGGCATTGCATAGACCAATTCCTTTCCAAAAATATCTCTAATATAGTTTCTCTCTAATATATAGAATTATTTTTAAGTCCAGGAGCCGTGGGCGCCTAGCTGTGGGGAATTCACTGAGCTTGAGGGACCAGAGGGCTGAAGAAAGGGCCCCCACATGGGGATGAGGCCGGGGCCCCAGGCCTCCAGTTCCAATCAGTATTGATTTGGTTGTGGCCAAATTCTCAGTTAGTCCAATTACCCTGGCCCAGGGCCTGGCATGGGAGGATGTGACAGGCTCTGTTTCCTTCTGGGGTGACTGTCAAGTATAGAACTCGTCTAGAGTGGGGCTGGGGTTCCTGGTTTGGGGGAGTCTCTACAACAGCACCAAAGCCAGCTGCTTTATGCCTAAAGCCCCAGAACTTTGAATCAGACCCCGAATACACCTTGAATGCACCTCCCCACTGTGCTGAGGTCATGAAGACAGAGGGAAGGGCAGCACTCCCCCATCTTTTGGGGGGTCACTTCCTCTGAGACTGTAGCCAGTCCCCTTTTAAAGTGCCGGGTATCTATGGGGAAGGAAGGGACCCACAGAGCTGAGCAGAGCCTCTCCAGCCAGAGCAAATGCTCCATCCTGCCTTGGCAGGCACCTTCTAACATTCGTTTTCTAAAAGTTAGGTGATTAAAAACAGTAACGAAATCCTAGAAATGCTCTGGTCCCAATGCCAGGAAGTTCCAAGACCAAGGCTCCAACTCTTGTCAGCTGGGCAGATGGGCAAGGACCCCTCCCAGCCTGGGGAGGACACCCCCCAACTGCCACCCCACCCCCACCCCTACCAGACAGAGAACCCGAATCCTGGCCCTCCGTCCAGATCCCCAACCCCGCTGGGACCCAGCCAGCAGGTAGAGCAGAGAACAGAACCACCTCCCCTCACCTGGGGGAGGAGAAAGTATCAAACTGTGAAACTCCCCCAACAAAAAAAAAAAAAAGAAAAAAGGAAAGAAAAAAAGGTATAGAGCTAAGTACACACCAGCCTGCTGGGTTTATACAAAAAATGAGTGAAATTAAGAGCGACATGGGAGTCTGTCCAGGGACTGGCTGGCAGCCAGAACCCACCTTCAAGCAAGTAATGAGCATGGGGAGGAAAGTGCTCAGAGCAAGGGGCAGGGGCAGGGCCAGACTGCTCCCTGCTGGAAAACCTCCCTTAAAGGGCCCCACCTCTCCCTTGCCCAGAGAGGGGGACGCTTGCAGAGGAGGGCTGAGGCTCTTCCGGCCGGGAAGCCAGCTCCGGCCAGTCCAGTCACAGCCCACCTGCCCCTCCAGCTTTGGCCCCAGCCTGGACCAGCTGACCCTGACGGGAGAGAAAGCGGGCAGTGCTTGCCCAGCTCAGCCAGGTCCCTGACCTCCATGGGCTTGGGAGGCACCTTCTAGGCTTCCTACAGGAAACCAGCTGCTCAGGACCCAGCCCTGGGCAGAGGGGAACCAGCACGGAAGCTCAGACCTTTCTCAGCGTGGGTCTCAGGCCTGAGCTGGAGCTAACTGGAGGGAGGAGAGGCAGTGCCACGTTCCAGCCGGGCTGCTAGAGCTGGGCCGCTGACTGCACTGCAGGCAGCGCCCAGAAATTCTTGGGAAGGGATCTGAGGAAGGGCGGGCGCGGGCCAGTGGGGCTGTGCTGGAGACAAGCATGTGCAAAGTGCAGGCTGCCAGGGCAGCAGGAGAACATTCGTTGGGCGAGGGGGTCTCAATCTGGAGTGTGGGTGGGGTCTGAGGTCTTAGCTCCCTGGAGGAGGCCGCCAGCGGGTCCTCCAGGGCACAGGGAAGGGACAGCTGAAGCACTAAGCAGTCAGAGGGCCACGGTGGCAGGATTCTGGGGGTGAACTGGCCTCCCAAAGGCAAGGGGGCAATAGAATAAAGCCCTGCCAAGACATGGTCGAGCCGCTGCTCCTTGTGTGAGCAGGGACAT